CCAGAAAGGGGCAGTGGCTCCTCAGCAGTTGCTTAATGGTGGTGACTTCTAGAGAAGAGTAAGTAGCCCAGGATCCAACTAGTAGGTCTTAGTGCTTCATAGGACTGTGTGGAAAGAGAATGAGGGCAAGCAGGATGAGAGAAGGGTGGCCTGCTTTGCTCTTGACCCAAGACTGGCCCGTTGTGCAATGTCTAGGACAATCCCCACACTCTTGAACTGGATACTGTCTATATCCTGTGTACCTGAAGCCATATTCACATTCCCTACAATAGGGCTTTGGAATCTAAGCTCTGCATGGTTCCAGGTGTACCAGGAAACACTATTTATCTTGTACTCAGGCCAACTGTGTGTCTCTCTACAGACAACTGGTTTCCCACCCAGCTCTGGGTGACCTGGTTCATGTGCACACAATTTATTTCCCTCAGAAAAAATCCACCAACCCTATGAAACCAACCATCCACTCACAAAAGGGAAAGAAAACAGATATAGTAGCAAATTAGGGCAGAGGCAGAAGGAAAAGACAAAGCAGAAGGCTCGTGGAGTTTGTCATTGAGATATGGCATGCATTAGGTATGAAGTTAGGTTGCTGAGCCCCAGATTATATTCCAAGATGTAAACAGAATGTCAGTGGAGATTTTCTGATTCCTAAGGACCTTTAGTGTCCTAGGAAACAGTTTTGTTATACAGTGTTTTTAACTACTTTAGAAGTAAAATCATATTTTTTTGGTAAAATCGTATTTTTTAGGTGCTTAGTACTTCTATTCCATTAGGCAGAATTAGTGAACCACAGAGAACTAATGTATAGCCACAGAGGGAGTATGTTACTGTCTCTACACACTTTTTGGTAAAACCAATGTTTTGCAATCTTTTAAAAAAAAATTATTTTTAGTTACCATGATATCACAACACACTTTCAATTCATTGTGGATGTGATTCACTTCTTCAATCATTACCACATGTTCCCTTTTTCAATGAATATCACGTATTCAGTCATGAGCTAAGGCTAACAAATTGGTCGTTATCTGGTCACATAATTTAGGTTATCATTCTCCTGGGATCAGCAACGTTCTGCTTCCTTCAGAGCCTGACTTAACCCATCCAACTTAATCTTACATAGGCAGGAGAATCCTGATTTATATGATAGATTTCTGTTCTTACCCAAGATGGAAAAAGCATTATCATAGATCAGCCAAAGGGATGGTCTCACACATTTGAATAAAAGGGATACCAGGCAGATGCTTGTGCAATTTAATAGCTGAAACATTACCAATAATAGTAATGTATCTGTATACTCTTCTTTGTTCTACCTGCTCCTTAAAGTTAGATGTCTGAACAGTTCACTTCTGGATGCCACCTTAGCATTAAATCAAGGTAAATAATTATTTCCAACATTTTGTTATCATATTTTAAAGTAATTATTTGCTTTACTGGGATGGAAACTGCACGTACCCTCTTGCTCTCTGGCCTGGGGATTAATACAGCATTGATTTAATAATATTTACCCAGGACTTTCCCACTGAAAAAGGAGGCACACCCTTGAGCAATACCATTTCCTCCCAGGGACCTGGCCAAAGTGTGTCAAAGTGTGTAGCTGTCCACCTGACTAAGGCAATGAATGCGAATGCGAAACATGCCATCAAGATTAAGGCGTCCAGCCTAGCGCGATGCCTGGAAAACTAGCCTCATCATTTGTTGTGTGCAAACATGTATTAGGGTTCCTTGTGCAAGAGACAGGGCTTTTGAGCTGGAGGCCAATTTGAAAAGGACTTTATTTCAAAATAGGACCAGGAGCTCATGACTGTGTTTTGAAATCTCTCAACATACACTTTCATTTTGAGA